GTGCTTGAACCACTTGGTTCTAGTCAGCTATACCCCCCCCCCCGAGCACACAGAATCCTCAGGCTCCAGGTCCCCCGGGTGATGCCCGCGGCCGTTCTGGTTCCGAGGGGCACGGACTCGGCCAGGCCACCAGGTTTGCCTTCGACTGCTTTCGACCCTGTTCGCCACGCACTTCACGACTTATTGGTCTTCGACCCTCTTCCGGAAACGAGGAGACCCTCGTGTCTCCTGACCAAAGAATGGGAGTCTATTTTTCCCCCTGCTTTTCTGAGGCCCGGGGAGGCGTGGGAACCCGCGCGGGTGGAAAGCTCCGGTGCTCCTCACTCTGGCGGAGAACTGCTTAACTGGGCCCGGAGCGGCCGCGATGGGAAGGCAGGTTCGGTCTGGGTTTTGTTTTTCTTTCTTTTAAAAGAAACGAACTGGGTCAGGAGACTGCTGGGGGAGAAGATGTTTGGGTGTTTTCATTTCTTGCGATATTTTTGATTTGTTTGTTTTTCTCTGGGTGGGGAGTAGGAGGGAAGTCAAAACTTTAGAAAAAAGGGATAGTTTACAGATCTGAGTCGGTAAAAGATCTACCTCTGGCGGCAGCAGATCAATACCCGGCGGCTTGTCCATTCCTTAACCCTTTGCGTTCTTGCCAGAGCATAGAGTCGAGTAGATGTCACCCCTCCTTCCCACAATTAAAAAAAAAAAAAAAAAAGAACCCACAGCCAAACCAGAACCTTTCCCCCTTGCTCTTGGACTGGATTTGCCTCCATTTCTCCCTGCACTGTCAGTTTGTTTTTCTTTGTTTGGGTTTTCGGTGAACCGATTTCCTACTCTAACGCGTGTATCTGAAACTCTCCTGGTTTGCTCGAAAAGTTTAGGGCTCCCCTTTCTCATTCTCTGCCAGTCACGATCTTGGTCCCACTATCAGATCCGGAGCACCCGTGATTGTGCGGGCCGCAGACAGTCCCAGCGGTGCCTGCCACTCGGCAGCCCTTGGGTTTCGATCCCTTCGTTCGGGTCTCTCTCTTATAGTTCTCCGGAGCCGGGTCCTCGAGAGGCGGCCGCGAGAGAAGCCGGGCACGCGCGCCGGCGAGATTTCTATTCAGGTCCGGCTGCAACGACTCGCTCGGTCTCTGTACTTCCCCAGAGGGGAAGACAATTTTTAAACAAATCTCTGGATAGCAGGCCACCGCCTTTCTACTTTGGGTCAAAGTTCCCCTAGAGGTTAGGAAGAGGAGAGAGCTATTTCTTTGGGTTCGTGGGCGCCAATCCCAGGATCAGGCTCTTTGGCGTCTCCCTCCCGTACCCCGGGGCTGGGTGCGGAGGTGGCGAGATCTATGGCTGCGGAGCTCCGGGAGGTCAGGCGCCTGAGGACCCGTCCCACCCGGGGAACTGCTGGCTGGGTGCCGCACAGGTGGAGCCCTAGAGGTCCAGGCCTGGTAGCTGGGCCAGCGTCCCTTTCGTGTGCTGCGGGAGAACCACCAGCACCCGCAGGCGGAGCAGCCCGGGCTACTTGGAGTCTCGGAGCGCAGTGCCAGGCCAGCCCGGCTCGGGAGAAGCCTGCGCCTCCGGCTAGATCGGCCTCCCTAATGAGACTTCTGCTGTGTCCCCTGCAGGAAACGACACAAGCCCTGAGAGTTTTCTTTTGCACAATGCGCTGGCCAGAAAGCCGAAGCGGATCCGAACCGCCTTCTCCCCGTCCCAGCTTCTAAGGCTGGAACACGCCTTCGAGAAGAATCACTACGTGGTGGGCGCGGAAAGGAAGCAGCTGGCACACAGCCTCAGCCTCACGGAAACTCAGGTGAGCGTGGCCCAGGCACAAGAGCCCTATCGTGGGCCTCCACTCCCAATCTGGTACCCAGCAAGCGGTAAGTGTAGAGCCCCGAGCATTCCTTTGGTGAAGGTCCTGGTGGCTGGTTCCACGCTTCGGGATTTATGTTTGAAGGTTCCTGGCTTTGTAGGGCTCCAGCAAGGGGCTGGAAGAGCCGACCCACTTCAAGTTCTGGGGTGATGTGCTGAGTTTTTCTTTCTGTCCAGCTGGACATGCTTTGTGGCTCCTGGCTAAGACAGCTCTGCACTTTTATTGAGACTTTTGGTGAGACTGCGGGTACCTAGTTGGAGTCAAAGAAGAGGGATGTAACAGTGGAGTGTCCAGGTGTTTGGGCTCCAGGCTGGAGAGGGCAGAATGTGCGTTCAGAGAAGAGTTCTGCGTCACTGCCATCCATGGCTCACGCGGTGGGCCCCACTTACTTCCCTTAAGGGAATGGGAGAGTCCGAAGGTGGAGGCCAGGCATATGGGTACACCCTAAAATGGAGAAATAAAACTGGAAGGCTGCAGAGAGGGTCTGCCTCGGGGGATAAGCCCTCTGCGTGGCAGGGTCCTAAGGCAGGCCTGACTCGGGCTTGTCCTAGAGCTGGGAGGAGGCTCAGGGCTACAGTAGGCGCTACAGTAGGTGGATCCGCAGGACAGGGTCAAAGTTCCTAGTAAACAGTACCGTTTTGGGGGCAGATTAAGTTGTAACACTTTTTCTGCGCACTGCACGAAGGTCGAGCCTTTTGTTTTAAAATGTCCTCCCCTACCCCCAAACTGAGGAGGGCCTCGCGGGATTGTGCCGGGCGGCACAAGGAGCGCGGGGCTGATTTCTCCCGGACAGCCAAGGCGGCGGTGGTCTTTGTCCGCCTCGCTGCCCACGCTGCCTGGAGTCTTTGTGTGCGTGTCAAGCCCGGAGCGCACTGACGCGCGCCTTGGGCGAGCGCCGGGGAGAAATGAACCATCCTCCCCCTCAATTAGCAAACTCAAAGCAAATTAAATTCAGCCTTTCCCGCTCGGCTTTTTCACTGGGCACTTTGGGGGACTGGGGCATTCGGGGAGAGCAAGTTGGGACTGCCCGGCATTCTCAAAGGAGGTAGTGGAGCGGACCTCAGGGGTTCAGAGATTGGGACTGGGCCCGGGGTACTGCTGTCTACACAGGACTGGCTATGTGTTTGGGAGGTGTAGTCACCACCATCTCCCTCACCCATACCTCACTGTTGAGAAGCTTAGACAGTGTTACTGTCTGGTCACAAAATGGGGACTCATTACTCAGCTTTCCAAGGGGCCATGGGATGGCAGCCGACTCCCACCTCATTTGGTGCAGACCTCTAGCAAGGCTCTGGTGAGACCAAGCCACCAGCCCCACCCTAGTGGGAAGTGATGTGACTGGTTCTAATGTTGACCCTGGCCGGTTCTAGGGCTGTTTAGGAGGAAAGAAGAGAGGACTCACTCTGGTCTCCCTCATCACATATTCAGTTTCTCTGTTACTTCCTGTCTACCCTGCTATCTTTCAGAAGCTTTCACTTTTGAGCCCCTTTTCCTAGCTAGAAAGGTACAGCTGGGTTGGTCCTGAGGCTTGTACACTCCACCGTTCTCCAGGCTTCCTCTAGCCCCATCTCGCTCCTGCCCACCTAGGAGAGAGAGAGTCTCCACTAAGGAGGAGGAAGCTCAGACAAACCCTGATCTTCTACCCAGGGCCCCAGCCCTGTGCATAGGAGGCGCTATATTTAGGAACCACCGCCCAGACCAGCAGAAAATAGAAAGCACATTGGACCTCCAGGGAAGCTTACAGTAGCCTGGGACTGGGTCTTTCTGGAGACCGCTATTGCTGGGAGGAATTAGGGCCATGTCTCCCTTTACTTTTCATTACTTATTATTTTATACAGATTTCCCATGTTTTGCAAGACTTGGCTTTCCATAGGGTATGGGTGGGCTGAGTGAGAAGGGGCTCAGGGCACTCTGGGCCATGGGGCTTTGGGAAAGGTTCCCAGGAGGGCGCAAAAGGGCAGGGAACATCCGAATGTGCTCAAAGCTGCCTGCCATGCACTAAGGCCCTATTCCCTGAGGAGCGGCCAAGCGGAGGCCAGACCTTAGGATATGCATCTGGGGGCTGGGCCTTTGCTGTGTCTGGGATGGGTGTCTGGATTAGGCGAAGAGATTGAGCACTTGGGAGGAGGGCTTAGTGAAAGAGCTAATGTGCACCACTGGCCTCTCATCCACAGGTAAAAGTATGGTTTCAGAATCGGAGAACGAAGTTCAAAAGGCAGAAGTTGGAGGAAGAAGGCTCAGATTCGCAACAAAAGAAAAAAGGGACGCACCATATTAACCGGTGGAGAATCGCCACCAAGCAGGCGAGTCCGGAGGAAATAGACGTGACCTCAGATGATTAAAAACACAAACCTAACCCCACAGACACGGACAACACGAAGCAAAACAGAGACGGGGAGAGGAGGAGGAGGAGGAGAAGAAACCTACAAAACAAAAACAAACCACACACACATTCACCGAGAAAGGGAGAGGGAATCGAGGGAGCGGCATTGCAGAGCGAAGACTTTTGGGCACAGGGTCCCGATCTGAGGCAGCACGGAGGTGGCAGAAAACCGAGGCTCCTTCATCAACATGCAACCCTCATCTAAAGAGGCAGCTGAGTGAGTGAGTGAGAGAGACAGAGAGAAGGAGAGAGGGAGGCAACGGGGGGAGGGAGGGAGAGAGAGACAGAACATCCGAATGTGGCAAAGCTGAAAGTGCGCTCTGACAAGCGGAGCTGTCAGTCAAATACTGAACCAGCCAGACAAGATGATTGGCAGGTATTTCGTTTATCACAGTCCACTTAAAAAATGATAGTAATAATGATAAAAAAGCAAACCACCCAACCAGGCACAGTACTATTTATTTTGCACTTCACAGTGTTTTTCCCCCAATCTTTAAAAATAATGAGTAATAACAAATGAAAATTCCATATCTAGCCCCATCCCACACCTGTTTCGAAATCTTGAATTGCATGTAGCAGTTTTTGGGCAAATGGTGTCTAAAGACCAAAAATGAATTGTAATTTTCTTTTCCTTTTAAAGACAGGTTCTGTGTGCTTTTCATTTTGATTTATTTTCTGAGAAATGTGCAGTCTGTAAACACTTTTTGATACCTTCTGATGTCAAAGTGATTGTGAGAGCTAACTGAAGTAGGCTCAAGGATAGTGGTCCTCTTACAGAGAAACGGGGAGCAGGACGGGGGGCTGGGGGTGGTGGGGGAGGGTGCCCACAAGAAGAGACAGGACTTACACCGAAAAAAATTGCTAAATTAATTAAATTTCTTGGACATTCCCTTTCCTAACATCCTGAGGCTTTAAACCATGAAGTAAACTTCTCATTTTAGCGGTTGGAGAATTGGCTGAGTTCAACCATTCACAGTAATGGACATTCCAAACTTTAAATCTAGCTGTTGCAAAAACTGAAGGATTGTAGTTATCGGGGATGATGTTAAGTGTGGCCAAGCACACGGCAGCAAGTTTTGAAGCACTGAGTTTCTATTCCAAGATCATAGACTTACTAAAGAGAGTGACAAATGCTTCCTTCATGTCTTCTATACCAGAATGTAAATATTTTTGTGTTTTGTGTTAATTTGTTAGAATTCTAACACACTATATACTTCCAAGAAGTATGTCAATGTCAATATTTTGTCAATAAAGATTTATCAATATGCCCTCAGAGTAGTCGTCTTGCAAAATTGAAGTGGATCTTTACAAATGTATCTCAATAATTTGAGTGTGGTCCTCCTCCACCTAGCTTGAGAAACTCAGGGTCCCCACCCACAAAAGGGGCCAGACTGATAGATTCTGAGGCATTTTAAAGAGGGATGATGATTGGAGAAGAGAGAAGATTAGGAAAACTTAAGTCCTTCAGAAAAGGGATGTGAGAAAAGTTTTTCCAACCAGACCTTTGCCCGTTGCGTGCCCTACTGAGGGAGTTTAGTTTGAACTTCAGGTTAAAAATGCTTACTTGATTTCTGTTTTTGTTGTTGTTGTTAAATCAGGATATATAGTTATGCATCAAAGAATATATTCCCTGAGGATTAGGGACCCAAACCGCAGAATCAGAATCCTGGAACTTTGAAACTTTGTTTCTGATTTCAATCCCCAAAGCACAAGTCTCTTCCTTCTTTCTCTCTCTGGCCTCAAACTGCGGAAGGTGAGGAGACAAGCCCAAGGTCCTCGGCAGCCTTATAAGGGAAGCATTCTGAGAAACCTTCAACTCTTTAATTTTAACATTAAAGAAAAAGTTGTAATCAGTCTTGGAGGAAACTTAGCTTTTTTCCCTCCCTTCTTCCCCCTTCTAGGGGTACGAGGTTGTTTTTGCATGCTTCATTTGCTTCTTATCCTGATAGGCTGCATTAATCAGTTTTATTTCCATTGATAGAGAAACCTCGTCTGTTCTGTTCGAGCTACAAAGCGTCCTGCGAGCTTTTGTGAAAGTGCAAATCAGTTTAAGCAATTATCATACCAGGAATATGAAGGGGAGAGAGGAGGCCTTGCCCAGTGGTCTCCTTTAATCTCTTAATCCACGGATCCAGGGGGGCTGCCTGGACATAATTTAGGACAATCTCCCCACCCTTTACACTGTGATAAGGCCAAGTTACAATGCAGGGCAAAAATACGAGCTTTGTTAACATCCTGCCTTGAAAAGTTAAGATTAGACATTCCGTGCACGTGTGGGGACTATAGGGCACTATGGAAATCTTTTTCTTTCTTTTTCTTCCTCCCCTTCTCCAAAGTAGAATTCATTCTCAACTTCTCTCTCTTTTTCCCTCCTGTATTTCTGCTGTTTTCCCCCGTCTCTATCCTTCTGTGGAACTCTGGCTGCTCATAATACATTTTCACACAGGCCTCTCTTAGAAAGTGTGTGCTTTGTGTGTGGGGGAGACTCTGCTTCAGGGAGATGCCAGGGTTAGAGGGGGTGGCCTCAGGAGACCTGGGTTTGCTCTAGAAGGAGCAAGCACAACCTGAGTAGCCCTAAAACCCAAGTGGGGCTTTGAGCTACTTGGGCAGGGTGACCCTCAGCCTTGGTTAGCTATTCTGAGCGCTTTGCCGACGTGGGGTGGCAGCTCATTCCTTTCCCTTAAGCAAGTACAAGTCACCTTTTCCTTCCACCCAACTTCCAAAACTCAGAATGCCTCAAACACTGAACTCCGTCCCATTAAAATTCAGATTTGCCGTTTTACAGAAAAATTTCCTGTCTTGATAAAAGGCGAATTTCTGCAGAAACCATATACTTCATTCTTTTTAAGTGCAAGAAAAGGGTGGTGGTGGTGGTGAAGATTTTTTTTTTTTTTTGGTAAACGTCCTATGTAGTGTAACAGCAATAAAATCATCAGAGAATACTATTAGCTTTGAAAAAAAAAACCAAAAGCTTTATTACAAACCAAGCTTTGAAAATAGGGGGGATTAGGCGGCTGAAAGGGTCCCACAATGGTAAGAAGAAAAGGTTTCATGCTAATGAGGTTAATGCCCTTTGTATCTCAGGCCTCCACATCTTCATTACGCGCTATCTCCGGCTGCACGGAGCGGCTCAGAGAGTCGCAATCCACTCCAACGCCCCCCTTCCCGGCCCAAAGAAGGATTTGATAGCAGCTCTGTTCAAACTAGATAATTATATCTTTTCAAGTCGGAATTAAGATAAAGAAAGTGAAGCAGAGGCGGCTCGCCTTGATCCACTGCAAACAAATTTGGCGCACTTTCGAGTCCTTCCCCCGCCTCAAAAAGGCAGGACAGTCAGCTTATTAGCCGCTCGTTTGCTTTATTAATTCATCTATTTAAAGTGGCAGGATTAGAGCGTCTAATGTGGACGCGGGCTGCCGTGGCGCTGAGGAATATAAATATTTGCGAGATGCCATCCCACGATGACTATCTGGACGCGGGGTGCGGGGCAGGGCGCGCGGGCTCCTGTGCCCCGCTGCTGCGTCCCCTTCGCAGCTGCGCGTGCTGAGCTGGAGCCCTCTGGACAGGGGTGCGTGAGAGCCCTGGGGTCGGCCTCAGTCTGTGCTTCTCTGGTGTCACATGGCTACCAGGTCCGGATACCCTCAGGGCAGGGCTCTGTGGGCCTGGAGGGTCGGGTTCTGTGTTCCTCTGGGCATACCGGCAACTATAAGCATGCTGCCATTTGTTCTGGTTGTGACTCCGAATGGGCATGTAGGTTACACGTTTGATTCACCTCCTAGTCCCTTGATTATTGGTAGGCCTCCCTATGTGTCCCCCTGTGCCAAGTGGACGTTCTGTAGAGGCACGGGTTCTCAGTTTGCGTTGCTGTGAGAGGGTCACGCGGACAATACAACTCATGTGTGCTGCGACTACCTTCTCCTGCGAGGCGCACATGGGGTCCGTGCGTGTTTTCCGATCTGGACCGTATTCCTCCGAGAAGGAGCCAGAAACTCCTCGGGAGGGAAAAGCCTTGGACCTCCGGACAGTTACTTGTTCCTGGCTCTCGTTCTGGGTGTCCGGTGCTCTCAGCAACCTCTGGCTCTGCTCCTGGCAGCCAAGCCGAGCCGAAGCGGGCGCGTTGGCCGCCGCCGGGAACCTGCCGGGCCACTTTTGTGCAATGGGCGGATTGTGCCAGTCCTAGAGCCCTGCCAAGCAGGCCGGGCAGAAAGGGGGCTCGGGCCTGCGCGCGGCTTTGGAAACCTCGGCTCCTCCCCGTCCGCGCCTCGAGTCGCAGGAAACAAAGTCCAGGACGTACAGGCGGGTTGGGAAGGGACTCCGGCGGCTGAGAGGCTTGGCCCCGGCTCCCTGCTCCATGGAAGGGGTTGGAGGGGGGAGTCTAAAGGCTGGGCTACCCACACGTGGGCAGTTTCAAGTCGGTATGAGGGTGACTTAGGTTGGAGATCTGTGATTATGTGTTTGCATAGAATGAGTGTACTAGTGTACATACATATGTGTCTGTGGATTGTGGAGATATAATTGTGTCTCAGCCAGGACTTTAGTCAGTTTGCGTTGATGCTAACTGAGTTAAGTTAGAGGCTGGAGAGGCCAGTGCTACTTGTGTAGATTGTCACAATGTCTGGCTGTCCTAGACATCTAGATTGTTTTGAGTTAGGGCAAGCACACGCACTTGGGGGGCTGTAGAGTGCCTATAAAGGTGTGCCCCTGGGTTAAGTCACAGGATAAGCGTCTGAGTTTACCTGGAGGTGTTCATCTCAGAGGATGAGGGTGGCCTCGGTGCATGTGACTTGCCGGGACATTTCTCTGAGTTTGGGTGGTAGTTCCTCTGATGAAATCCATGCCCAGCCCTAGCGCAGCATTTGTATGTGTTGAGGTCTCTGCGTTGTGGGTTTAATGAGGAGGCCTGGATTGGGGTGTTGTTCCCTCAGCGCACCATCAGCTACAGAGTTTGGCAAACAACAGTCGTTTTTTGTTTTCTGTTTTTGTAACTGTGCCTTTTTCTAGACCTGCCTTTACGATTCTAGCAACCAGCGCTTGGGTGCCGCCTCCGAGCAGCCGCGGGCGGGGCGGCGGAGGACGCGGGTCTGTGGCGTTGGGGTACCCGCCCCAGAGCAAAGATTCGGGGTCGCTCCCGCGCGCTTTGCCGGCAGCTCCCAGCCCGCGCCAGCAGCTCGGCAGCTTGATTTTCTTCCCCTAACCAGCCCATAACAAGGGGAAAAAATGGGAGGTTTGAGAACCCTCAGACCCCAAGCGTGACCCGGCTTCTGGAGGCGACTTCTCCCAGCATGACTGGGTGCGCCAGGGAACTCCAGGCCGTGCCACACTTGAAAGCGAAAGGTCCAATTCATCAGCCGCGCCCCAGCGTTTAATTGGCTTCTTGATCATTAGCGACTGTTGCCTGGCTGGGGGGCTTGGGAGGGCCTCGGGGCTGCAAGGCTGGGTGCCCCTCGAGGACTTGGGTGCCAGTGCTCGGGGTTTGGGTCCGAATGGACAAGGGCTCGTCGCACTCCTTGGAGGGGGCGCCAGAGCGCGCCAAAGATCATGCCCACGTGCGAAGACGCCCGCCTGGAGACTGGCCTCCGAACGCTGGGGTGGGGCCTGGTCCTCGCGGCTAGGAAGGCCGGAGACTTTGTCCCCGCTGCCACCTCCACCGTCGGACCTCGCCCTCCTCTCCTCACCCTCTGAATTTCAGACTCGGCCTTCACACTCCCAAGTTCCCAGCCCAGGCGTTGGCCTTGGGGCTAGATTGGGCTCGCGTCCCGCGTTTCCAACTGTTCTTCGATCTTACATCTTAGTGCTTCGAGTTCGTTCGTCCTGGCTCCTCCACTTACCCCAGAGAGAGAGACTCTGGGTTTGCTTCCTCAGCACCAACCTGGTACCTCATCGAGCCAGCACTGTGCTTCGCTGCGGGGGAGGGGCGGGGAGGGATTCAGAGAATTTTTTTGGCACGGTTGAAAGAGGGGAGTTACCCGGCACTTCCGGGCTTAGATGGAGAGGAAGTCCAGGTCGCCACCACTTCAAAATTCCACCTTCCTCTCCAAGGCAACCCTCACCTTTCTGATCCCTGTCTCCCACCCAGTGTCCAGTCTCCAAGCCTCATCCTCCTCTCTACCCTACACTTCACTGCCCCCCACATGCCTCCTCCTGAGGAGCCGGAGAGAGAAAGGCCAGGGGTAAAGTCTCCTTTTCCAGCGTAGCCACAGAAGCCAGGAAGCACCTGAGGGGCCCTGGAGGTTCCTGAGGCCTGGGATAGGGATGGCGCTGCATTTGGAAAATGATGC